TCTCCTGCAGGGTTAGGGGTAGGAGACGTTAATTTCCCATGCACGAGATTACTGTGTGATGGATGTCCTCCCCTGGGGTGGTTGCTGGGAGGGAATTGTCCCTGAAAAGCCCTCATGGGGAGGGGTCAATTAACATATGTATGTATGTATGTATGTATGTATGTAGGTAGGTAGGTAGGTAGGTAGGTAGGTAGGTAGGTACGTACGTACGTACGTATGAGTAACTCAAAATCCTCCAACCTGGTCCTTGCTAAGCAGTAAGGAGTAACTCAAAATCCTCCAACCTGGTCATTGCTAAGCAGTAAGTAGGGACTGGTCCCTAAGAGGATGAGATATGTTTTGGAAATTATGAGTTCATTTATGACGTATCATGTAACTAAGAGAAGAATAGAGAAGGGAATTTTACCAAATCACTACAAAAGTGGTTGTACTGAGGCCTTACACCAACGTATACATGTACACGTAACTTTTTTTCTGTCTGAGCCGTTTTAATTATTTTTATTTCATTCATATAAGTTACACCAACCCACAACCAACAATAAAGATAAAGATTATTTATCTTGAATGTTGTAATTTTAACCCTAGCTACCTAATTTTACTTAATGCAATGCAGTAAATGAATGTAAAATTTAGCTTTTTGTTTTTTTTTTTCCCTTTTTTCGTTGCTGTATGTAAGTGCAATGTAATTTTTTTTTAGTATTTTTTGTATTAGTCTATTGGTGATGGGCCTTCCCTTTTATAGACTTTAATAAAACGTAGATGTAGATGTATTATATTTTTTTTATTGTTCTCTTGTTTGGAATAAAAAAGTAGGGATAATAATAATAATGATAATAATAATAATAATAATAATTTAACATCACAGGACTTCGAAAGATCAACCTCCTAGGATCAAGCCACATCCTCCAAAAAGTTCTATCGATCGAATTCATGAAGACCATGACTACCCCATTGGAGCCTCAGAACCTGGATTGGATCTGGCGCTAATGGTGACAGGACAGAAGAATCAAGAAGAATCAGAGTTAATAATAATAGCGATAAAAACGTGTAGCTTTTAATTTCTGCTCCCGCTTTCCGCCCTCTCCCGCCTCCTGCTCTCCTGGGTTTCTTCCAACCTGTTCCCCTCCATATCACTATGGGTAATCGCATGATTTTAGTGCAATTTGGTGTTAAAAGCAAGATAATTTTTTTTTAAAGACTTTAAAAAATTTACAAGTTCTTATTTACACCAAATTGCACGAGAAATCGTTTCCGTGCACGTTTTCAGACGCACGTATTTTTTTTACCAATCTCGTTCCCAGTGTCTTCGCTTCCTTTTCCATGAGAAAAGAGAGGGAACCTGGGAATAAAGTTGCATCTGTGGGATGGTGTCAGTTGCGTGGGTTGACTTCGGTACCATTGTCTTGATGTAAATCACTGTGGAAAGTAGGTAAACATCTAAGGTAAGCGTAGACAGTAATGGTTGGGTTTGTTTCCTATCATTAGACGTTTGGATGTGTTGTATTTCTGAGTATTTTTTCGCGAGGCAACTTCAGACTTCCTGGCCACGTTTGACCGTAAGAATCGATTGCTCCGCGCTCCCACGCTTTCGAAGTCGAGGACTAATTATTATATCGATAGTCCCGTAAAGTTGTTTTGTTTTCATTGGAGATGGGGATATCAAAAGTTTTGAGAATTCTACCATAACACTCTCAGCTAAAGAAACAAGATAGACTGGTTGGGCGACCCTAAAAGCCGGACCGGCAGAAGGGCGGAATGGCAGAAAATTACTCCAAATCCTTAAACACGGAACGGCGGAAAATGACCCAATTCCTAAAACACGGAAAGGATGTCAGGGCATGTTGCACAAATTTGTACAAAGACACTCAAGTGCTTGGCTCATTCATCCCCACGACGAGAACGCGCTTGGCTAAAATTAAGTGTTATTATTATTATTTTTTTTTCATTTAATGAGTGGTATGAATGATAATGAACCATTATGCATGAAAGATAGCAGCGTTTTCGCGTGCTTAGTTACCTTTTGTTATGCTACATTTTCCATGAGTTTTAGTCGCAGCAGAAAAAGTCGCACAGCATGCGAAAACTATTGAACTTGACATACCACATCACAATAAACATTTGTAACTTTGATACGTTTCGTGGTCACTTGGGCTTTAATTTAATGAAACATAAATATCTCAAACGCTCGTAAATGTGAGAACA